AGAAGAAATTAAGTAGAGAGCTTAGTAAAAATGTTTCCATTCATCAATACAAGAATATCAATTAATAATTTATCATAATCAATTAATAATTTTAACACTGCAGGGTAACTTTATTACTGCAGTTAAAAATGATTTAATAATTTTTCCATATGAAACCAGCTTATAGAGAAGACTAGCACGATAAACCTTATTGAACCAAGCTAATTTACTGGTTGTTGCTGATCATTGTTTAAAATTTCAGCTTTAGGCATATCTTTGATATGTCTAAAGCAATAGACCTACCCTCTCTGCTTCCATCTAATGTACAATAAAATTTTTCTGTTATAACAATTAACAAGTTAGCATAGAATAAGTGGAATCGCAATCCATATTGATTATAAGAAAGTTGTTAGACTTGAAATGAGTTTGTTAGTTATTAATTTATTAATTCAGCTGGTTAGTTAAAACTAACTTTTCTTTAATTGTTTTATGTCACTTCTTTAATTATTAATGATATAAATTAAAACTAAAGAAAAGTTTTCAACTTTACTTTCAATTTTAACTTTGAAATTAAAAGATTGCAACAGTGAAAAACAACTAAATAAATACCTCAGTTTTAACTTACCTTACAGTCAGCTAGCAATGGTCTTGATCAACGTGGTGGTGTTAACAATAGTTTTGGTAAGGAGTTAAGGATTCTTGTTGCTGCTATATTAATTTAATCTGATTGCTCTTTGCTAATCCTATTTTAAACTTTCATATTATGTTTCAACTAACCCCATAGTCTGTTACAACTAGTCCCATTGGCGGAATATTTTTTTACAGCTCTCTAATCAAAGATATATTAAAAACTACATAACTATATTTAATCATTATTAGTGTAATAATTTAATCATTATTAGTGATAACAATCATAAATCTTTAAATATTAAAGATTAAAGCAAATAGTAGTAAGAAGACTGGATTAACTTGTTTTTTTGAGATGACAGGAAAAGTGTGTTCATTAGATTTAAGAGAAAAAAGGTTCTATTCGCAAATGTAACAAAATTTAGAAAGAAAAAAAAAGTGTGTATGTTTGGGTTTCAGTGTGAAAATATTTAAATTAAAGTGAGCAGATGGCTCTGGTTTATTTGTTTAAAAAAAAATATTTCAGTTGATTATCGAATTCTCTTTAACTGGTATTTTACCACACAATTTGACATTAAATTAGTGTGTGTATCTGATAGGGTGCATCAAACAAAAATAAGATGGTTTGGGCCAGTAGAGTAAAGATATATATGATTTTGTATCCACATGTAGAGATAAGAAACCATGAAGAGAGAGTACGTTTCAGAAGACATAAAATGCTTTAGCTAAGTAAAGAAGATGTTCAACCTAAGTGCTAAAAAAAAGCTAAACAATGATGCTTTTAAATAGAATTGTCAATTTTTTTTATTAACATTTTAAGTATATACTTACAAAAATAGATATATTGATTAGTTTCAAAAAATATGTTAATGGTAAATTGATAAACCTTTTTATCACATCTGCGTATGTGATAAGAATGATGTTTTCATACTTTAAATTTCTAACTTATTCCAACAGATTTGTTTCTTGATATTTGAAGAAATAAGTTTCTTTTGAGCTTGGTATTTGTCATGAGATTTTTTAAGAAATAAGAACAGATATGAAAAATAAATATATTTCTAATTACATATAATGCCTTTGCAATTACATCTTAGATTTCATAATTATAACTTTCATTTTCTCAATTACATATCTTTAGCCAAAAACCAAGAGGCCGTACGTCCAGTTTTTGTGTTTCCAAGAAATTAAAACTTTAAAATTTAATATGTAAAGATTTACTGCCAGAATGCCCGAATAGTTTTTTAAATATTTTCAAAAGTTATATTATTTTTGAGACAAGATTATTGGACACATTCTGTTGATTGTTAAATATTTGTTGATAATAAACAGAAAAAAACACAAAATTTGGACATACAGCCTTTTGGTTCTTGGCTTACAATATTACTGTTCTCAACTACAACTTTTATGTTTGCAATTACATCTTGGAAAAGGTATAGAAGAAAATGTTTGAAATTAAATGTTAACTTGAATTTGAAGTTGATTGTTATCAAAATAATCAATGTTCAATGTTATATTTTACATGTCTTTTTTATACCACTTTATGACATATTTTTATACTGCAAAATGATAAGTTTGGCAAATAGTTTTTAAAAGTTTACAAATTATTTGATGATTGTAGTAAATATGTTTAATGACTACACAAAAATATGGATGTTAATAAGATTTGAGGGGAAAAAATAAGAAATATTTCTTTCTTGCCTATTTATTAGATATCTTTAACATTTGCAAAATCTTTAATATTTAACTACTTTAAAATTGCATACATAAATATTTTTAGGTTTCATCTTGTTTATCATCAGTTGATGATGCAACAAATGAGGCTAACAATATTTTTAAAGATGCTGCTGAAAAAACTGAAGAAATAGTTAAATACACTGATAAAGAGATTAAAAAATATTGTATGCTTTTATCTTTTTTTTTTAATTATTATTCTATTACCATTTCTTATTTTCTTAATTTTATGTCATAGTTATTATAATTTTTTATTTATTTTAAAATAATATTTTAAAATAAATTTTTATTTACTTTTGTTTTATTACTTATTTAATTTAGGTTTAACACAGGCTAAATTAAGTTATTTTTATTTAACACAGGTTTAGTTATATTATTTATATTTAACACAGGTTAAGTTATGTTATTTTTATTTGAAAAGTAATTTTACACCACCAATTGCATTTGAATTACATCATCAACTGTATTTATTTCACACCACTAACTGCATTTATTTCACACTGCCAACTGCATTTATTTGCACACCACCTACAGCGTTTGTTTTATACTTGATTGTGAAAATAGAAAGAATAAAAAAACTAAAATTAAATGATGTAAAAATTCATTTTTTAGTGTTTTGTGACTTTTTTGAACAGTTTTGATGACTTCTAGAAGTATTGATACTTTCTATTGAACAGTTTCGATGATTTTTGGAAGTCATGGATACTTTTTTATTAACTACAGCGAATATTTTTTTCCAGAGTTCCGGATATTTTTACCCTTTTTTTTTTCCGGATATCCAAATAGTTTTCTGGAAATATGTTAAAAATATATTTTTTTAATATTTTCTTAAAAGTTAAAATTTTTTTTATTTATCATCAAATAAAACAGTAAAGGTATCATTTATCAAATACTTTATGCTATATTTTACTTAGGTAAGGCATTATTTTTACAAATTTTTTTTTTTGTATGTGTGTATTTATTAATAAAGGGATTCCTATGTTTCGAGATGATATTAGAGTAATTGCTCAGTTTTACATGAATAAAAATTCGAGCAAAGTTGCTAAAAATGTCATTCTTGTAAAGCTGAGCAGTTATTCCAAAAAAGGTTAGTAAAAGAAATTTTAAATAAAAATAAAAATGCTTTTTATTCACCCACCCAATTAAAAAATGTATGTATGTAGGGGAGACCAGTGTTAGTTAAAATGTTTTTTTTAATTGTGAACTTGTGGCCAAAATGCAAAATTTTTTTAATTCCCTTAATACTACTTACTAAAGCACACAATGTTCACTAATAATGATTAAATTTAGTTATGTAGTTTTTAATATATCTTTGATTAGAGAGCTGTAAAAAAATATTCCGTTAATGGGGCTAGTTGTAACAGACAATGGGGTTAGTTGAAACATAATATGAAAGTTTAAAATAGGACATGCTTAATAATAAAAAATACACTTTAACATAATACAAGTATATTATATGTATGTACATATATATATATATATATATATATATATATATATATATATATATATATATATATATATATATATATATATATATATATATATATATATATATATATATATATATTTCTTCGCAGTTTTTGTCTTTATTTTCTTTTCTTTTGCTACTTTATTTATGACAATCTCATCTTTTTCTAGTGTATCAAAAGTTAAAATGCAACTCCTTCCTTTTTTGGGGCCAATTTTTTTGTAACTTGTGGTTTCAAAATGTCCAATATTGGCCGAACGCTTTCAAATTCTTTAAAATTTGATATCCTCAGCATTATCTGCTTCTACATCTAACTAAAGGCAAATTATCACAATCAAAATTTGTCAATCAAAATCAAAAAAGTCACGAATATTGTTATTATCATTATTACCAGTAGCCAAGACATAAAGTTCTTGACTGATAAAGTAGCTAAAGCAAGAACTTTAAACTGCACCATAGTCACTGCTGGTCCTAGGCGGTCTGTAACTTTCAAAGGCATATATTCAACATTCAAAAAAATTTTGCGATCGAATGAACAGGTTTGCTGACTTTAAACCCTTGTGCAACTCCTCAGCATTTCTCTCCATTTTCAACTACTCTTTTAGCAGCAGCAAGCATTGTATTGCTTGATATCATAACTGTCAACTAAACAAAAGAACTTTTAAAATGTTTAAGTTTTAAACGCACAACATTTTAAACATAGATTTGTAAAGAGTTGAAAACCATTGTTTTTAAGAATTCAATTGATATTAAAAAGTCGCAACCAACAGCTAGTGTTCAAAATAATAAAGAAAAAGTTGCTGTAAACGACGTGCGGTAGCAAGATTTAAATAAATTAAAACACATGCTAAATAAAAAGGTCCTTGATTTAAACTCTAATTTAGTATGCCAGTATGGATAATTATAAAATAACAAAAAAAATCTATAAGCAATATGAGAAGGAATATAATTGATGCCTTAAAATAAAAACATTTCAACAAACCCCAATTACAACGTTCCAACAAACCTCCTTTTAACCAGTGCATTCTTAAACGATTTAATAAAGGTATCCCATGCACAAAACCCTATAAAAAGCACATTAAAAGAAAGCCCACAAAAAATAATACTTAGATGATATCAAACTATTTAATTATCTTTTATAATACAAGTTATTACTATTAATACAAAAATCACAAAAAGTTACTTTCATGTGTACAATTCTCTAAAATCTTGAGCAACAACTTAATTTTCACAATTTATTTTATCCAGCAATAAAATAGTATGTGTTTTAGTTCTTGAAACCTTCGTTTCTTGTTTGTAATAATAAACTGCTTGTTAGTTGGTGCAAAGGTTCAATGTTTTAATTAACCCCCCTGTTCCAACTAACCCCAGTCTTCCCTATTTAAATTATGAAATAAGTTTTGAGTTAATTAAAATTACCAAATCAATTTATTTATTCAGATATCAACAAAATAGTGTTTATTGTTTTGACATATATTTCTCTAGTATTTATTTAAAAAAAGATTTTTTTTAAACAAATATTGCAGAACTTACCTTCAAGAAAAAAAAAAATGGCATTAAAAATTACTTCTTAAAAGTTTTTCGATTATGTTTTGATAAATACTTTGTTGTGGATAGTTTAAATATGAAACTTACTTTTTTAAAGATTATTTAAGATATGTTAACACTCAGCACTTAGAAAGCACTTTAATTATTTTGACTAATTCACCTAAAAACCTAGTTTTATTTATTTTATAAGCATAAGCATTCAAGTAAGCATTAACCCTTTTGTGACAAGTGACTCGTATGGCGGTTTATAAAATTTATTTCTAAATGACGAGTGACCTGCATGGCGATTCATAAACAAATTTATATATTTAAAAAGGTCTATAGTGATTGAGGAAAACTTTGAACTTATCTTTGAAATATGAATAATTTCTTAAGCTAATGCCTCAAACCGTTTGTTAATTGCATTTATAGATTGCTCAAAATTTAATTTTAAAAAATAACTTTAAATAGATTAAGTTATACTGATATAAATGAATTCCTTGATATTTTTTTCAATGATAGTGGTGGAGATCATTACCATAAATGCCTCATTTTTTTAATATCGAAAAATGATATGTTTATGTATTTCTTCTTTATTTGTTTAAGCTTACATAAAGAAACTATATGCTTTTGTTGATTTCAACATAATATATCTTGATCACATTACTAAAATAATAAAAAAATTTTTTAATGTTTTTTAATATTCTGAAAGTCAATTCTTTAACAAAAAAAAAAATAAGGTCTTATTTGCAAAATTCTGACTAGTAGTTTAATTTTATACTCTTTTAATCCTCCTAGTTCCTTATTTTACGTGCAGTCATATAGCGGTTTTTAACTCAGTCGCGAATAGGATAAAATACATTTCCTTTATACAGAAGAATACCTGCCAAAAAATTTTTTTTCTAGCACATGAGATATTCTTAAATACACAAAAAGCATTTTTATTCCCGGATTTTTCCGGATATGTTTTTAATATATTTTTCTGAATATTATACGGGAAAAATTTCCGGATACATTAAATGTGATAATCTTTGTAAATATGTAATGGTAGTAATGTAAAATGGTGAAGAGAATTCTTCTTTAGAATAAATTCATTTAAAATATTCTTATGGAATACAAAAAGTTTGATTTGGCACACAGTAAAGTTATTATCAATGTTAATATTACATCTTATAAATGTTTATTGTGAATAAACAGGTTTCTATATAGAAACTGTAACACTAACATTGTATTGATCTCTGAATATCAATTTAAGTTAAATATTTTGTTAAAACAAAAACAAATAATATCTTTTTTAAGTTGATAGTAAGCTGTTGTAGTATTGATTGTAAACAATTACTTTTGAACATTTTAAAAAATATTTTTAGCATTGCAGTATGAAAAGCTTCTTGCAACAAAAGAGTTGTTGGACAATGTTGGAAAAAAACTTTTCGAAAAGATGGCTGCAACATTTAATAAAATCGAACAATATCAAAGCAAGATTGAATACAGTTGCACACGTCAATGCAATAAAGGTAAACTTTTGTTAATGAATACAAATTTTATTGTAAACGTTTGTTGTTATTTTATATTGTAAATACAATGAAACAGTATTTTAATTATGGTTTGTATATAAAAATATATATTTATAATCTTCACATTTGGTGTAAATTTTTTTGAAATTAATGTGGACAGTTAAAAAAATTTAAAAGTATTTAAATAGTTTACTTTGTGCTGAAAAACTTTACATATGTTTCTGAAATTGATTATGATTTAAATTTGGTATCATGGAAGCCTTGAAGAACCAGACTATTACATGAAAAAACAAGTTTAGTACAGTACTCACAGGGATGTGGATTTTTACTGCAGGATTGTTTCTCAAGGATTTTACTCAGGATTTTTCTCAACAACTTGTTTTAACCAGTGCGTAAAGAGATATTTTGTGTTCAACATAATAACCTATCTCTCATTGTGTAAAAACTGCGTAACTATTCGTTATTATCAATAACTTCTTCTAGATAAAGTATGCAAAAACATTAAAAAACAAAATTTATAAATGATTCTCATATAAATTTTTATATGAATAAATGCAAATTAATAAATTAATGAAAATATTTAGGAGCAGGGTTAAGGCAACTTATCTAGTAAATGGAAAATTTTTTTCAACTGGAAAAGTCTGATATAAAATCTAACTTTTTGGATTATTTGGATGATAGTCATGATATCATTCAGTATTAGATGACTTCAATTCATTCAAAGTAGCAAAAATCATAAAGGAGGAATGGGATATTGATGTAGGAACTTCACTTTTAAATAGTTTGAAATCTCACTCCTGGTATCTTTCGCCTAAAGCAGTAGTAGTGGTTCTTGCTAATTCTGACCTTAAAATTTAAATAAAGTCTGACATTTTGAAGGCCTTGTTAGAACACAAGGTTGATGACATTAGTGAAATTAATAAAGAAAAACCATTTCCTGTTTAGTAGATGAAAATACCAAACCTTGTGAACTTTTACCTGTGAAAGCTGGTTTCTTTACACTACACCAAGAAGGCATTTATTTTAAAATAAATTTATTAATTTAATTTTTGTGTAAAATTAAAAAAATAAAATTAATATAAACTTTAATAAAAGTATTAAAAAAATTTTTAATGCCACCAAACAATAAGTATTCAAGCTTTTAAATAATTTACACATTTAAATTAACATGAAATGAAAATTTGAAGATCTTATTATGATAAAAAGTACACAATTTGTTGAAATTGTTTGCTACATGTAGCATATGTATACATTATTTTGTTTTGAAATAAAAATAGATTGCACACTTCAGTGGCACTTTCCTTTAGTAATTGATAGCTTATTATTATTTAAAAATGTTACAATGTTATAAAAAAAATCACTTAACAGTGTATAATGAACTTTATATATCAAACAAAATTTAAAAATGTTATTTATTAGACAACTACTGATTCTAATCTAACACTTTTGTTATTTTGTTTAAAATGCCATTTTATCTGCTCTTAGTCACAAGCAGCCATTTATGTAATTTAATTTATTGAGAGTAATTAGCTGTATTTTCAAAAAACTTTTATTACTTTTTTAGCTTTTGCTTGTCAAAGTAAATTTTATCATTTTTATAGCTGGTTAGGTAGACATGATTATTAGACAAAGTTTAAACTTTAAGTTCAACAACTTTTCTAGTTAATGAAACATGATACTTTTTCTAAAATAACTATAACATTTAAATATAAACCTAGATATACCAGAGACTTGGTTCAAATGTACATAATTTTTGTTATTGAACGCCCCTAGGGTAGTTTTGTGTAACAAGAAAATGCATGCTGCAGGCATGTTGCAACTAGTGTTAAAGGCATGTTAAATATTTTTCAAAATTCAGCACTTCCTCTTATTTAAAAAAATAACTTACGCGCATAAAACTTAATTATGGAAAAATTATCTAATCATGGAAAACTTTAAAAAATTTTAACTTTGAATTCAAGCGTAATATCAGCAGCAGTTTTTTGACATCCACAGTCAGTTTGGATTTAATGATATGATCTAATTTTTAGATTTTTCATACTTTTCTACTTTTGAAAAATTTTATGACTCATGAATTTGGATTAGTGTGTCAAGCCATGTTTTTGCTTCCACAACCTTCTTTGAACTATATGTAAACATTATTATTTATAAATTCATTTTTAAAGATCTTACTGCTTCAATGTATACTATGTGGCAGTTATAATTATAGTTTTTACTGTTGTTCAACGCATTTAGAAGCAATTTTGTTTTTAATTTTTTTATTATTTATAATCATCCTGAATGTTTTTACAAAAAAATTGTTTGCTACATGTAGCATATGTATACATTGTATACATTATACAAAATGTTATAATAATAAAAACATGCAATGTGTGACTTTTGTCAATACTTAGCAAAGCTAGTTATTAACTAATTATTAGTGCACATTAAAATCACAACATCTCCCCAGCTTATCAAGAGCTCATACATAACTGAATAGGCTGTAACTCTGTCTTACAATTTGTTGGATAGTTTTGATCAGCGTGGTCCCTACTATTGTCAACTTTGAAGTTGTCCAGGGCATTTATTTGAGAACTTGGGTCTTCGATTATGACGTGTTTTAAGTTTGTTTTGGGACCAGTGTCAGATTGTAATTGTCATCAGTTGTTATATCTTCTACTTTTTTGTCTGCATAACAATGCTGCAGATGAGAACAATGTTGTGGCAATGTATGTCCATTGACTTCAACTTCAGCTGTTAAACTATTATGCAGTGCCACTGTACTTTCTTTTAACCATTGCTGTGTACACGGCGTCATATGCTTGGGCTTCACTCACACTTTATTGCCAACTTCCCATCCTTGAAACTTAGTCAGGGACTATTGTGTTGATTCGACCTGATTAATTCCAGGAAATTTGGGCGCGTTTGTATTGTTGGCAAAAGATTTCAAAAGGTGTGCTGTGTTTTGATGGAATGTTGATTAAGAAGACAGACATGGGTATACCACATTTTGCTCTTGCATTTGTTCTTTTTACCATTTGATGAGCTCTTTTAACAATTCCATTTTCCGATGGTTTTTTAACAGCTTGATAAATAATTCTTATTTCCCACTTCGTCGCCATAGCTTGCATATTCTGAGATCTATTTTGGATCAATTCAAAATCAAATTTGGATCAAAATGCATTCATCTCATTCAGTGACAACTTGTTTCACTGTGTCTCTCTTAACATGGATACCATCAGGTGAGCATAACTTTATACTCTTGGAAAATCCCATGTGTGCTATTGAGTGAATTTTTTAATCTGCTGATTATCGTGCTTATAAATGATATTACATTCTTGCATTGCAAATTTGTTTTTTTATCTATTTTGTTGGCACTTGTGTGAGTTCATCTGCAATTTTTTTTGGTGTTGGTACCCATGTAACATGTGCGGCCATGGCGCAGTGGTTAAAGAACTAGCTTTATAAGCAGGAGATCCAGGTTCGAAATAAGCTTTGGACATATTTTGCATCACGGTAAGGAAGGAGGTGTGAACTTGTTGGTTAAATGCACTTCCGGGGTGCTCTGTGACAAGACCGTAAGGACTTCTTGGGGAACCGAAATAATAATAATAATAAAAAAAACATTTACATTTATGGCGTAATCCTCAACCAATTTTCCAAATATTTGAAGCCTTCGTTGAATTTCACATTTCACATTTCCCAGCACATTTTACAGGTTTGTGACAGAATTTAATTCAACACAGAATTTAACCAAATGAATACACTATGAGAATCAGTTTTGATAGAGGCATTACTTGGGTTCCATTTCAATGCCATATTGAGACCTTCAATTCATGCATCCAGTTCAGCCATGTTGGTATGTATTACATCAGACTTTGGTCGAAGCCAAGTCACATATTCTGTTTTTTGTCACCTTACATTGTAACAACTCTTTTTGCCAGTGAACTTGCATCACACTATACAGTGAGAGATGCATTTGGTTTGACATTCCATACGCCTTTTGCTGAATTGCATTTGATGACTTTATCTATGACTTCCTGCATCATTTCATTAACATACTTATTCATAATAGGTTCATCCCAACCTGCTTCATTTGTACATCTCTTTATAAAGCTGCATGTAAATCTTAACCTTCCAACAACTGGTAGATAAGCAACCAGATTACCACATAATGAGAATATCTCCCTCTTGGTGAGCACATTTTTAGTAATGGGAATCTTGCGTCCTCTCTTCCAACACATTTCTTTTGTAGATGGTTTTACTGTTACTTCAAATCCTAGTGCAAAAATTAGGTTTTTGCCAAAATATTCAGGTGTTTTTGTGTGAAGACCCCATTTCTTCATATGTACCATCAGCTTTCTTTCATTTTCATTGGTTGCTAAGGTGTCATCAATGTATCCTCTTGTTGATTTTGCAAGTGTAGAACTTTGTTGGAGAACATATTGAGCTCATCATCACAGGCGCTAGGTTCAAACCAAAACTCAAACGTTTAAGCGCATATTGTTAATCTTTGTAAATTACAATTTGGTAAGGCCAGTGTTGTTTATGCACATGAATTTGTTGGTATGATCTTTTTAGATCAACCACCGAGTCATTGCTATTTTTAATCATCAGTCTCCAGTTCCTCATTGCATTGTTGATGATATCTGCATCTCTTGTAGAGGCTTTAACATAGGTGTTAAATTTGCGGTAATCAAGCACCGGTCTTATCTTTTTATTATCTTGAATGATGCACATCAACGGTAATAATCCTTTAGCTTTTCCCATAATTTTATCATCATATTTGATAAGTATGTCTTCTTTGATCCATTCATTGATTTTGTTGTCAAACGCATCATGTTGTTGGTTAGATACGTTATACTGACCTGTTTTGTTTTTCATTATAGGTTTGTTCTCCCAACTTGCAATCCATTTTTTGCTCCAATTTCAATTGTCGCAACACGAGGTGTTGATAATAACTTAATCAGAGAATTTCAATTTTCAGTACCAATTTACAGTTCATCATACGACTTTATTAGATTCATACCCATAATCATGTTGTACTTGTTTATTACTTTATCCACACATAACACAAAAGCATCTACCAAGCACCCATTTGTTGGGTGGTGTATATTAGCAATAACTTCTTCACATCGAATTATTCCACCCATTGTTGCAACATCCACTACACAAATCACTTTATAGTCAGATGGTAGTAACTTCTTAGTGATGATTGATTGTGAGCAGTCAGTATCCACAAGCACTGTAGCTTTTCTTCCATTTATTACTAAGTTGATAGTAGGTAGTATTGTTTCGGGAAGAGTTCTTTTAGAAATACCTAATGCCAACTCATTCCATTCAAGTTTTCCTGGTTTTGTTGACATTTGAAGCATGTTTATGCAAGCATTTCTTGTATAAAAGAGGTACACTTACGTGCAAAGTGTTTTAATAATTCTCAGTTAAAATGTTGCATTTCTATATATATATACTTCTCCATATATAACTTAACATTACAGTTCCAGTTGTTTTGTAGCTTGCATTTAATTCTTCATTTACAGATAAACATGCATCTAATCTAGTTTGTAATGATACATCTAATCTAGTTTGTAAAAACATGGATGCAGTCTTGACACAATCATCAAAGCTCAATGCATCTTCTCCTGGAAGAATGGCACACAGAACAGCACTATCATTAATCCCAATATTAAATTCATCACGAAGTCGGCCATCTCTCTCTGAAGGCAAGAACTTGCATTCTTGAGCTGCTTGGATCACTTAATACACAAACGTCTGTATTGATTCTTCATTGCCATGATAAGTTTTCCCAAATTTTATACCGTTAGATTAACAATGATTTTCTAATATCCAACGTTTCCAGTTTTGTCACCAACTTTTATGAAACGTCCTCTCGCAGTTCAGATGCTGTTAATTCCTTCATAGTCTTGTTAACCTTCGACAGCAGAGCAACAAGTAAGTAGGCTACGTATCAATCTGAAGTAATATTGTTTATCATGAAGAAAGAAGTCATCTGGCAAATAAGTTGCTTTGGTTGTCCATCTTTAAATTGCGGAGATAATAAACACGGCCGCTTAGCTTGTTGTTCAACGTATTTAGGAGCCATTTTGTTGTTAATGTTTTTATTACTTATCAACAACCTTAACGTTTTTACATAAAAATTGTTTGCTATACATAGCATTTAAAAATACAACTTTTGACTTATGTCATTATACAAAATGTTATAATAATAAAAAATACACATTGCATTTTTTATTATTATAACATTTTGTATAATGGTCATTATACAAAATGTTATAATAATAAAAAATGCAATGTGTGGCTTTTATTATTATTGACGCACATTAAAATCACAACATTTACATAATATATATTAAAGCTTGTAAATGGAAATCACAATCACTAAGGTGATTATAGCCTAGGTGGTTTTCATGTATCATATGTTTTGTTTTCTTTATTGACAACAAAGAAAACAAAAAAATGTAAATAAAATATTTATTTGTCTACTTTTTAAGGCTATACAAATTAATTCTATAATGAAACCAACATTAACACATATTAGGTGGGTTAGATATTACCTGATGCATGGACTGTTGTTTATCAGAAGCATAGGTATTAGTACCCATTTTTAAATTAAAGTTTATTTTTTGCTATTATGTACCATACTATGTTAGTGGTTAAGGTTGCACAAAACACTTAGACTTTGGTATATAGCTTTATATAAATAGAATTTTACATTTACATAATTTTAAGTTTATATAAGCTACATATTTACCTATCTGTATATAAATTTTTAGTGTTATTTTATAAAATAAAGTTCAAAAACCTTTTCTCACCTTAATCATTTTTAAATGAATGCCATCAGCTCTGTGTTCAAACACATTATTGACTATTCATCCTAATTTCTTTCTTATTATTATTTCAATAAAAAATGATTCTAATCAATGTCAAGTTAAGTTTAAAAAAAGTTAGTTTAATTTATAGGCATGATAACTTTTAATTATTAAAAAGTACAATAGTTTTACAGGTGCCAACTTGAACATAAATCTCAATATGTATTAAACATTATTCTAAAATTTTGTTATCTAATGTTCCAATGTATCAGTCTTTTTACAGAAAATCAAATATTTCTAGTGAATTCTGTCAAATGTTCTTATCTTAAAGTTAAATGTCAACATTTTTTTCACATTTTAGAAGTGGGTTATTTTTCGAAAAATTGGTGCTCATCAAACTGTCTACTGGATAAGGGAGAACGATCTATCAGAGTCGAAGCAAACAAGAAAAAACAAGAAGTATAAGTATTTTTAATAAGCAAGTTTTTTAACATCTAATAAGTTAATAAAATTCCTATAACATTAAAATGACTTCTTATACTAAATTTTTAATTTTATCTTTATTTTTATTATTCTTTTTTTTAAATAAATCTTTTCAATTAAGGATCTTTTTTTTTTTTCTAATTTTTATATGAAAAAAATTAATGTTTTAATTAAGGTTCGTTCAATGTGGTGGGGCATATTTGAAAGAATTAAAGATGCGGTTGTAGACTTTGTAGAAAAAGGTGCAAAAAGTATATATAATGGTGTAATGGATGTAATTGGAAAAGTTGCTGATACAGAAATATTTGGAAAAAAAGTTTCAGATTACGTTGAAATTGGTTTGGATTTAATAGAAAAAACTGGAAAGTATATAAAAGATAAAGCATTATCTGCAATAAACAAAGTTGTTACAATTCATCTTATTTGCTTTGAAACCTCTTTAGATAAAGCATTTAGGGGTAAATTTAATTTCAATGCTAATGTTACATTTTTGGGTTCAAACAAAGTCTACGAAATAGAAAGTAGTCTTAATTTTGACTTTTTGAGTAACATTGCTAAAATAATCACGGATACAATATATCCCGGAATGCAATACATCGGAAGTGCTTTAGAAACCGTACGAGAAAAAGTTGCAAAAACATTTGGTCGTGCTAAAAAAGTATTTATGCTTATTTTTTATTAAATTTTAAAAAATTTCTTTTTTTATTTATATAATTTATATTACTTTCATTTTTTTTTTCTTGTTTTGCATCTAATTTTGAATTTACTTATTGATTATTACTTAATACTTATTCATAATAATTTACAGATGAGAGAAGAAATTCTTTTGAAAGAAAAAGAAATAGAAAAACTTAAGGAAGATGTTGATAAAGATATTGATGGTGAGGAAGTGACACTAAATGATGATGCAAGTGATGATTTTATCACAAAGGTGTGTTTTTTGTGTGATACCATAATGATGTGCTTTTTCTCCAATTATATTTAATTTATGCTTTTATGTTATGATCATGATAAAATAAGTTTTTATTAGTATTATTAACTATTTTTCAATTTATTTTCAAAATGTATGTATTTGTATGTATGTACAATCTTAAATTTAATTTTTGTTTTTATAGAATAACATAAAACAAAATATAACAATAGATGATATAAAACGTCAGATTTACAATGAGTTTCATATTGTATCATTAACTGATGAGGATGCTCTTGAAACTTTGGATACAAATCCTGATTATACCCTTGAGATTAATTTTGAAAAAAATGAATCTGTTGGTATGTTTTTTTTTTAATAATTGTAACATTCAAATATCTTTAATTGTTGAAAAAATTGTTTGATTTATTTTTGCATAATCAAAGTTTGCATGATTAAAAGAAGAGTAACTAATTATTTTATGTAAAAACTGTATGTGAGAACTACACATAGTGAAATATTTATATATTCATCAAAATCACAGGGAATAACATAATGACTACATAGTGTGGCTTTAATTCACATATTTAAAGGAGAAATAGTAGTAAAGGTTTTTAAAAAAACTCTTGAAATATTTTAAAAATAAATTGTGCTGAATCATGTTTTATGTTTTTGGAAAAACCTGTTGTTTTGTCTTAAGTAGGTAAAGTTAAGCAAGTAATTAACATTAATTTATATATATACCAGTATATTATATATATATATATTTATACATATATATATATATATATATATATATATATATATATATATATATATATATATATATATATATATATGTATATATATATATATATATATATATATATATATATATATATATATATACATATATACATATATACATATATATATATATATATATATATATATATATATATATATATATATATATATATATATATATATATATATATATAATATACTGGTATATATATATATATATATTTTGAATGTTATTATTAAATTTTTTTAAGTTTAAGTATGTATCTTTACTTACCATGATAAGCACCACTGTGAATGGTCTTTTAACTACTGTAAATGAAAAAAGTGAGCAATTGCAGCTATAAATAATGGTGAAAAGATTTTCTGGGGAGGGGGGGCAGGGGAGGGGAGAAAGGTTAAAAACAAATAAAAATTGAGTGACGTAATTTATGGACGACCCTTTATGTAAAGAAATAACTCACACTTTTAGAAGAAAAAAAATTCTTTTTGTTAAAAAAGCAGCACACAGCTCAGAAATTTAATTTTAATCTTTTTTGTTTAAGTAAAAAATCATAATTTTTATATTATTACTTAAGTATATCAATAATTTTGTCTAAGTTGAAGCTTGTTTTTATTAAAATCTTCTTTTTTTTTTTATTTATTTTTGCAAGAACATTCTTTTAGAATTTTCTTGTTTTTATGTTCTCCTTTCATTCTTTTTTTTTTCAGAAGCTTTATTTTTGCATTCAATTTGTTAAATATCTTTTTCTTTCTTTGCATTTTCTTTAGCTAGGCAAATAACCAATTCATTTTCTATTGCTTCTCCTAGATAATATATAAAGCCAGAGTTTTATCATGTGGGTTGGCTTTTACCAAATAATTTGTCATGTAGGGTACTGTCAGGAGCATTAAAATTTTAGCTTTCACAGAAAATCTTTCCATCATTATTCATAGCTGCAATTGCTGCATGCAGTTGTTCCACGGAATACAATAACTTTTTCGGATTTTTTTTTTTTAATGAATTTTACATAGTATTAATAATCACCTAATATAGTATTTGTAATCACCTACCATGTCAAGGATTACACTGTTATACAAAATAACTACTTTTCAATAAAATTTAAAAAAATAAAATGTTTTAACAATTACATTTTAATAATAACAATTTTACACCTTTATCTAAAACTAAAATAATTTTTATTCATAAAAAAATTACATGAGTTTTCTGACACTGTAAAAAAGTTTTTCAAAAAAATCATTCATGGGTAGAAAACATCTCAAAACTTTAAAATTAAATCTTTTTAATGATTAAAAACTGAAATAAATAAGTTTTGTATAAAACAATATTATAGTTTTTGTACAATAACATATTGTATTTTAAATACAATAACATTCAAAATTTATTACTTATTCTTGATATGGTCTCGTTACTTCAATGTTTTTTAGTAAACTGTAAAAAAATATTCATTTGAAAATCTAGGCTTTGCGTTAACGCCTAAAGTTTTATTCTTGAAAACTTCTTATAATAAACATGAGAAGATATGCATAATTCTTTTTTGTGTAAGCTTATTAGAAACCTCTTACTGTTTATTTTGAAATAAAATTGTTTAAATGAAACAACTCCCTATTTTGGGAAAGAAATTTGCCTTAATATTAGATGCGCAGACTTACCTAATTATTTACCTAAACATGCTAATAACATAAGTATCTCTAACATAGATAACAACTGACATTTGTACCAGTGTTTTTCAAAATTTATAGTTATGATAAAGTTTAGACCCCCCCACTAAGAACCTCTCCCCTTTACGTTATTTCGGCATATGAGAAAAGTTATTTTAATTAAAAGTAACCTTTTACTATAATAATAAAAAACAAAATAAAATTGTGTATTTAGTAATAAAAGTTTATATACTTGTTTAGTGAAATAGTAACTGTTAGGAAAAAAGAAAAAAATGTATAACATTTTTTACAATAAAAAGTTAATTGTTCAGAAAAAGAAGCAAAATATATCTTTTCAACAAAATTTATTTACAAACAAAACAATGCAAACTCTTATCTATAAAAAAATATATATATATATATATATTTTTTTTAACATAAAACATCAATTAACAAAACAAGTTTTTATTATTTACATTTACTATATCTATACAAAATAATAAAGTGAAATAGAAATAGGAATATATTTACAAAAAATATTTAACTACATTTACAAATTGTAGCAAACTACAAAAATACTAATTATTGATGTAATGTAATGTTTTCTCACTACTCCCTCCCCTTACATTTAGTCTTCAAATGGGGCCACTATTTCAATAAAAAAAAAGGAAATTTGCCCCACAATTAGCCTGACACCCTAGGTCTCTTATTTGTTCTGCAATTCTAAAATTAAAAAAAAATTATGGTATGATAAAAAAAGACTATGTGCAAACACTAAAAATCAATTTACCTGTTTTTGTTATTAATACTATATAAAATAATAAAATTTAAGTTGTTAAAAAATGGAATGTTACTTATACTTAAAAGAACATATACATATATATATATATATATATATATATATATATATATATATATATATATATATATATATATATATATATATATCAAACTAATATATTTATTTATTACTATTATCTAGTAACCATTTCCACAATGGTTTAACACATTATATACAAAAAAAAATTTTCAATAGGCTAAGATTGAAATAATTTATTACCTGACATCTTTTTTATTCATTTTAGTTTCCTCAAAAAAGAGTGATAAAAAAATAAGGTATCAATAATATAATAATATAATTATTACCTATCAATAAATTAGATAAACAGATTATATGATTACATCAAATTATTTTATAAATTAAATAAAATATCTCAATCTTAAAACTAATTAAGCATATTAATGAAGATATTGAGGAACCCCGTCACAAAGTTTTAACTGTAAAAGGACATTATAGAAGGCCATGTGCAAATAAGATCTGTTGAAAAAGCTCATAGGACTTGTAATACAGGTCATTATTGACTGCGGTATTAAAAAGATCATAAAAATACTAAGGAAAAAATTAATAAAATTATTAATTTTTAGATATTTTAGTTTTATTACTTACAGCCATTGTGCAAACTCCAAACTTTTGTATGTTCATGATTATGTCAAATGAGAATGTTTTAAAAAAAGCTGCCGTGATTTGAGCTTGGGGACGAAAAACCCCCAGTTTTTGGACCCACCCAGCCCTTAACATGGGGGCAACAAGTTTATAAAATATTTTCTTTAGTATTTTTATATAAGTTTATATTAATCAATAAATTTCAAATTTTATGCAATAATCTTTTATTTTTCAAAAATTATGACCATATAAAGTTTACAGGCCTCTCAATTTGAGGGGTTGTAAACTTTGTATGGTCCTAAGAACTGAACACAAAGAGATTTTTGCATGAAATTTGAAATATGTTAATGAATGTAAACTTAAAATAAAATACTAAAAAATTAGGGCTTTTTTGTCCCCAAGCTCCAATCACCACAACTCTTTGTAAAACATTCAAATTTGACATAAGCATGAAGATACAAAAGTTTGGAGTTTGCACAATGTGTGTAAGTGTCAAAACTCAAATATCTGAAAATACAGTGTACACCACTGAAGGAGCTTTCTATATTAATGTACAAAACCCCCAAAATATACTTATATAGTATATATAACATTTATATTATTTCATTAATGGGCAAGATTTTGCATATTCTCATTAAAATAGAATTACACAATCAGTATTAGGAAATATTAAATTTTTAGAGTTGTGTTAAAAATAATGAAAATCTGAAAGAAACTTATTGCTAAGACAATAAAATATTACGCAAAATAGCAAAAACATGATAATTAACAGTGCAAACAACCATTGTTTGCACTGTTAATTATCATGTTTATTAATTAGGACTAATTAAATTTGATTGATTAATTAGGACTAATTAAATTTAAAACTATTAGCTAATGGTAAACATAATCAATTCACGTAATCAATCAATTAATATATTTCTGAAATATTTGGTATTAGATTTCAAGGTTGTTTACAAATAGTATAAACTACTAACATTAAGTAAACACCTAAAGAAAATGATTAAAATAGTAGTGGTAATAATAATAATCACTGGAAGCGAGATGACTCTCGCTTCCAGAGATTTTTGAAAAAGCTTAAAGCCTTATTGTATGAGTTCAGTATTTCAGCCAAGTTATTAAAGTCATTTTTGTTGTACAGTTGGTCTGTAAACCAATGGTGTGCTCCAGCCATACAATATAAATCGACACTCTCTGCAGAATTGTCCTTGTTGATGGAATTAAAATGAAGGCTAGAATCGCTAGTATAACACCTGGCATTGCATGTTGGGTATTTTCTGAAACCTGATCAATGGAAAATGGCCCTTTTCCTCAAAAAATTGCAGCACTCAAGTGAGATGAAAAAAAAGTTTCATATCATCTCTCCAGCCTGATGTTTTGAGAATTACTTCTGTTCCGTTATCAAACTGTGTTTTCATTTGTTCCTTCAACAGTTGAAAGAGTAGAACAATAGTAATACTTCCAAGTAATACATCAATCATCAAACGGAGAATTCTATTTAGTACATGGTGTTGAAAACTGATAAACTGAGGTTTGTTGATGCGTTTCTTTGTGAACATTTGTTGCAATATTACAACAACACCATCTTTTTTTCCAGTGTTAACGCTGGTGGTATCTGCAACAATCATCTGTATTGAATTCCATATTTGGATTTCGTGGAGGGCTTTAGAAACTTCTTGAGCAATAGACAAAGCCATCTACCAAGCCAAGGACATTCAATTGGATTTCTCTTCTTTCATTTTTTTCAAGACAACCACTTGATAATCCATTCTGTTGATGTGCTTGCCATCAAAGCGTAAGGACCATTTTTCAATCATAATTTCTTTCAGCTTGATTGCCTCTTTGATTGTTGACTTGTAAATAGCTGATTGACATGGAGTTGAAATGTCAATGCCTTCACAAGGCAATTGCTTGCATATGTTAGTAGCTTTGTTTGTTGATACTCCTGTGGAGGTCACCAAGTTGACTACAATTTTGCTTTTATGATGTTTTCTTGCTTGTTGTCTTATCTTCTTCATTGTTTTCATATTCACTGTCGTCAGCCTCAGAGTCAATCACTAAAACTAGGATAGTAAGATGATGAGATTAGAAACTCATTAGAAAGTTTTTGTCTTTTAGAGGGATGGATCCTTTCTTTACTGGTCACTTGGACTGTAGAGTATCTCACTGTTCCTTTGCTTTCCACTTGAAGATGATACAATTGCTCGGAAGATAGCCATATCTTTAGTAATATAAAAAATTTCATCTAGGGGTTCGTAGCTTCCCTGCTTAATACATTCATCATAACATTTCAGTATTTTATCAACCTTTGCTTGTATAACTTGATCAGATACATGAGGAAAATTCAGTTTATTCTTCCACAATTTGGTGACTTCTTTTGAAATTTCCGCTATTTGCTCCTTTCTTCCTTTGATTTTTGGTCCAAGGAAATGGTAGAGTCTAATAATTTGCATTTGGAGAGGCGTTCAGCACTTTTCTTCCAGTGAATATTGTTACAAAGTGACCATTCTTCTTTTTTTATGAGAGTTTTCAAATTTTACCAGATCATTGGTCCAGACATCCTTGTTCTACTGAATGCTACTATCACTAGGCATGTATGACACTTCTGTAATGTGTTGCTTCTTTAATAACTATAAAATTAGATGAGCAGCTATATATAGTCTAAAATGTTCTAGAATATTCCAGAATATTCTAAATTGTTCTAGAATGTTCTAAATTGTTTTAGAATGTTTTATATTGTTCTAGAATGTTCTAAAGTCTTCTAAAATATTCTGTTATTTTCCAAAATGTTCTAAAGTTTTAAACACTTTAATTCTATGCAAGTTTTAAAAGACTTGCAGGAAAGCCACACATATTAGTAGTAACAGTAACATGATAAAATAAATGACAAAACGTAATTTGAGTTGTGGGGCGACCTTTTTTTACAAACGAGAAGAATTAAACATGTCTTAATATTTTTTAATAAAAGTTCATCAATTTATGACACAGGAAATTAATTTTTCTTTAAAAAAGTTAAAAAGTCATAACCCTAATATACAACCCTATAATATAAAAACATTTAAAAAATTTGATAAAGTTTACTTTGATAATTATTAACTGCTTTATAAACTTTTTAAATAATTATTGATGAAAAAATATATATAGGGTTAAGCATGCTAATAAAAAAACAAAAACAAACATTACACTTTAATTTTATATATAACTAAATTTAATATTTTAGATTAGAAATTTTTAAATTTGCATTAGTTAGATATAGCATTCTTATTAATGGTAGCATTAAGTTTAATATTTATATATTTATATATTATATTTTACATGTTCAATTTTAAACAACAAGTTTTTTTAAAAAGAAACTATTTTTAAAATATTTAAAAACTGAAAAATTATTTTTACTTAACTGTTATGGTTTTTTGATGCATAATCTGAGGAAGTTTTAATTATAAATATTTAATGTAAATGAAACTTTTTATATGTTTTTACACAAATTTTAGAATGTCTTTTTATGTATATGTTAAAATTATGTATATCATTGTTGTTGCTGTTGTTGTTATGTCAGAAAATATGACTTTCTCAATAATAAA